CAGCTCAGAATATGCTGGGTCAGCTGGCTGTATGGTCTTGGATAGCTCTTTAGTCTCAGTTTCTTTCCTTGTAAATTGAAGTGATTCCTTTTCTCTCATATGCTTATGCAGAGAAGGTTCCATGCCTTTTCCTCCCCACATTTTCCAGGTTTCTAGGAAAGTTTTGCTATATATCTGTCTGTTCTCCAAGATCGTGCCAATCACCAAGGCCCAAAGAGCTAAAAGAAGAAAATGATTTAGAAGTTATTGTTTGAATTAAGTAGTACATGACAATTTAAGCTACCTTGTCCAGATATGCCAAACAAAGAAGGGTGTTTTTAACATTGAAGGCAAATGGTTCTTAGCCCTATGGCCTAAAAGAAAACCTGCATTTTTTGCTTTTGGTTTAGGTGTGGAAATGTGTACAGTCTTGCACATATGGCTCAAAGGCTAATCCAAACTTAAATAAGTGGTTGTGATTTGAACCTGATTGTTGATTGCTTTTTACTCAGACTTCTTTTCTGCATTCATTTGTGCTTTCATGTCATTCAAATATTTTGACCATTGGGTGTACATTATTGAACATAGTTCTTGTATCTTTATGGACGAGAATATGTTTAGTGCATTGCCTAATTCTGGATCACAAGCTCAAATGCATGTGCAGGTCAGAAGTGAAGCTGGGCCTACCTAATAAAACTGTGAACACTGGTAACTGTGCTGAGCTAGAGAACATGTGTTTAGTCCAGAGAGTAGTCACCAGTCAGTGGCTTATTGCCACAAGGATGGCTGCATATTGCCAGATCTTCCAACTTTTTTTGCGAGAAGTCAGAAATATAGGCTCTAATGTGGACTCTCTTGATTTTTAAAACACTGCCAAACAAATAGAGCCCATTATCTGAGGACTGCTGGTTTGTGTACTCAGATTCCAGCCGCAGTTAGCTTTTTTCTCATGATCTGCCTCCTGATAGCATGATGGTTAAGAGCTAGATAACTTGGGTATGAATCACAGTGTGTGTGACCTTGGCAAGTTACTTGGCATCTCTGTGCCTTGGTTTCCTCACTTATGAAGTGGAGATGATAATAATAGTGCTTATCTCATAGCATTTTGGGGGGAAGTTAAAATATGTAAGGAGTTTAGAATGGTGCCTGGGACGTAGCAGGTGATATAGAAGTGTTTGATATTATTAAAGCCTCTTTCATGTCCTCTCATTAAAGAGGCCACACCCCTCTTCCTGTGAGGTCTGGGAAGAAGGGAGGAAAAAGAAAAGGGAAACAAACCTTTATTGTGTGCTAGGAATTATGCCAGGTGCTTTGTATGACATTTTCTCACTTAATCCTCATGCAGACTCTTGAGGCCAGTTTCATTCCCATTTTATAGTACAGAGAACTGAGACGCTGTGAGACCCAGTACCTTGTCCAAGGCAGAGTTGGGATTTGGACTTAAATGGGTCTGATTCCCAAACTCATCATTTTACACCAGAAATCTTACCATTCTCGACCCAGGAGATTTGTGAATTTGATGCCTGATAGGACCTTCTTCATATAGGGTTTTAAGAGAAATTGCCCTGTAAATGAATCTATTTGGGTTCAGATAAACTAGGGAGAGCTTTGTTACCCATAAACCCACTCACCTCTACCCAGGCAAGCATGAGCTCATTAAGGGCAAGGAATAGGTCTTGGCTCTTTCTGGAGCTCCCAGCACATTGAATGAGCTCAAATGCTTACAAAGGAGCAAAAGAGGGGCTCAAAATAGGAGGCTCTCAACCTACACAATTTGGGAAGTCTGGACATAGCCTGCAGTGACAATTGATTAATTAATTACTGCACTAAAAGCCTCCCCTGGATGTTATAGAACCTTTACCTCCCTTTCCAGAGGGTTCCTTCTGGTGTCAGTGAGTAGAATCAGAGTGGATGGGCAGAGTGAAGGTATGCGTGAACGGAAGGAAGAAGGGGGGAAGAAGTATGAAAGTGGGAAATCTGTCTGTTTAGATAAAGGGAGCAGGGGTGTGAAAGGCAAAAGCCATCAAGCAAACTTCCTGTCAGCTGCACACGATGATCTTAGGCTCAGATGAACTTCCCAAACCAGGACAGAATAAAAAATCACACACAACAATTTCTTTGGAAAGCCCTTTTCACCTCCACATGCTCTGCAGAAAACAGCTTTTGTTTTTGGTAGATGGAATAAAAGAGTATGGGAAGTTTACTTAAAAGAATATCTGCTATTATAAATCACACAGTCTTTCCCAATTAGGGCTTAAGTCACATCCATTTACAACTCTGAAGCAGAAAAACACGGACGTCTTTCTGCTGGCTGGTGATATGTTTTTAAAGGATTTCAATTCCTCTTCCATATATGAGAAGTTTGAACGTCCACAGATCATGCTAATCCTCGCCTCATTGACTCAAATGTGTTAGGAGTCAGTGAAGTTATGAAAACCACAAACTAAATGATTACTAGGTTTATTTTCAAGAATCAAGTGGAAAACAGGGGCGCCTGAGTGGTTTAGTCAGTTAAGCGTCCGACTTCAGCTCAGGTCATGATCTCATGGTTTGTGGGTTCGAGCCCTGTGTGGGGCTCTGTGCTGACAGCTCGGAGCCTGGAGCCTGCTTCGGATTCTGTGTCTCTCTCTCCCTCTGCTCCTCCCCACTCATGCTCTGTCTCTCTCTCTCAAAAATAAACATTAAAAAAAAAAAAAAAGAATCAGGTGGAAAACAAATAGGCCAATAGAATTATAGTTCCCAGTCTGTCCCTTTATCACTTTGGTCTCTCACTAGAGCGAGGGGACTGTCAGATCTGCTGCAGCATCACACTGCTGCTCTTCTTCACTCTATCCAGATGGAGTGCCAATGCTATGAAGGCTGCACCGTCCCACCCCAGGCGTCAGGCAGCCTCACAGATGGGCCTTTGGAACGAATCCAGATGCAGAGCAACACTGAGCCCATCCATCCAGAGTCAAGCATCCGTGTCTGAACGAATGTCCAGCAAATGTTCTTTAATAGGCTTAATCTGGCAAGTTACTAAACCTATCTATGTCTCAATTCCCTCATCTGTGAAATGGGAATAATCCTAGAACTGACCTCACATGTTTGTGATGATTAAAGGAGCTTTACTACATGTAAAACACAGCAGGACTAGCAATGCTCATTAATATTTTTAATCAAATGCTTTAGAGGTGATACTGATCACATGTGTAGGTGATCATAATTGCATTGGCAATAACCTCTATCAAAATGCTTTGGCCTTTCAAATGATTTTAAAAGGCCTTGACATGACATCAAGCTCCTTTATTCACCTCTCTCTGACAATTAGCCATTTCCATTATAGTCAGACTTCTATCTCTTTCTGTAAACTATCCAGACTTTCAATATGGTCTTGTTCCTCAGAAGGAAAAATGGTGTAACTATACAGCAACTTCATGGAGATGAAGCAGTGGTTGATCAGATGAATTAAGCATGATTTTAAAAAAATAAATCAAAAGGGTATGAGCTTCACTTTTTAAAAAAAGAAACTTTGTTCTGTACTGTTTCCTATACTAGCTTATTTCTCATTTTCACTAAATGAGAGACAAAATTGTCAGGCCCAAATTAAAATTTCACAAAGCTTGGTTTCCTAGTTTATATCACAAGGTGTTTTTTTTATCAGTGGAATGCATCATTGTCAATTCTCAGGAACTGTCCTTCCGACATTTCCCTATATCATATTACTGTAGGTAGGAGAGCTGACTAGGATTATAGTGGCAAAGCAGAATTCAGAATTATGCTCTGCAGTCACACTTCATTTAAAATGTTCAGTCTTCAAGATCTTCCTTTGATAAGGTTGAGATGGGGCAGTATCATTTAGAAAAAGGCTTTGACACCAAGTAGACCTGTATTTGAATCTCAGATATACCAGTTATTATTGACTTTTGAATATATTAATTATTCTAATAAATTTATGGAACAAATTGATCTCAAACCTTAACATGACCCAGAATCACCTAGAAGGCATGTTGAAACACAAATTGTAGACACCATTCCAAGAGCTTCTGATTCAGTAGGTTTGTTGTTTGGCCCAAGAAGTTGCATTTCTATTTTGTTTCCATGTAAATATGGCAATGATGCTGGTCTGAGGACCATACTTTTAGAAGCACCAGGATACATTATGTGCAATAAATTAGGTTCAGATGGTTCCTGAGTTAGGCCAGAGTTTCCGTATTTGTAAATGGGAAGAATACTGACTTGCAAGATTTTCTGTGAAGATTAGAGATATTGTGTAAATTCACCCAGACCTTAATGGATGGTCAATAAATAGTAGATATTATTCTCCAGAATCAGACAGCCCTGGATTCAAGCTTAAGTGCTGATTGTTGACTGAATGATCCATTATAAACTCCATAACCTCTCAAAACATCATTTATTTGTAATGTGGATGCTATGGTCTTACTTGTATCCCGCCCCCCCCCAAATTCATATGTTGAAGTCTTAACTCCAATGTGACAGTATTTGGAGTTGGGGTTAGGGGGAGATAATTAGGCTTTGGTGAAGTCATGAGGGTGGCACCTCATGATGGGATTAGTCTTCTTATGAGAAGAGACCAGAGAGTTCACATCCTCTCTTTCTCCACCACGTGAGGACATAGCAAGAAGGTGGTCATCTGCGAACCAGGAAGAGAGCCCTCATCAGTCTAAATGGCTGGCACCTTGATCTCATTCTTCTCCAGAACTTTGAGAAATTCCTGTTTTCAAGCCATTTTATGTATTTTGTTATGGCAGCCTAAGCTAATGCATATAATGCCTACCCTGTAAATTAGGGATGTATAGATGTGTGTGTGTGTGTGTGTGTGTGTGTGTGTGTGTGTGTGTATACACACATAATGCTATGTGTACAGCACTTGGAACAGTGCTGGCTGGCTATCTGTAATAGGAGGAAGCTAATGTGTATTAATGGTACTATTTAATAATTGCACTCATCATTGTGCCCTGGCTTCCAATTCCTTTGCAGGATTTCTCCTCATGTTAACTTTGCTAAGAACTCCTCAAATCTGATGGTAAAATTGTTGTGGAGTGAGAATTGTTGAGGGCTAATTTACATCATTGCCTTTCAACTTGGTTGCTACAGATCAATTTCTGTCCCACATCTCATCTTTGGACCAGCACATATTTATATAAGAACAATACTATCAACCTTCTTTCTGAGTTCAGCCTATCCAAGAGAATAAGTCCTCTCACGTGGCTCATTTTCTGGTGACGTTCCTTTTGTCAGAGCACAGTTGTCTCCTGGGTGGTATCTTGCACATGTGTTTTCCATTAAAGTAGCAACTAAAGAGTGGCAGCTGTGAATCTTTTCTGGCTGGAGCTCATGTTCCGTTTTCTTCTTTTGCAATTAGCCTAGGGTGGAAGGTTTTGAAGGAAGGGAGGGGGAGGTTTATTTGTGAATTGAAAATTGGACTTCTTACATATGACATTGGGTTAAATTGCTCAAACTTAGCTATGATGAAAACTTTCCCTCAGTTCTTCCTCTCTCATTAAAATTTCCTCGTTTAAAAGTAGATTCCTCAGGCTTTACATTGCTACAACTTTCAAGCATCTAATTTTGTTTAAAACATCATGTTAAAGTATTAAAAACTTGATTGATGCCTTAAAAGTGAAAAGAAAGAAAACGAAGTCAAATGCTTCTGATTATTTTAGGGACAATATTTCATCATGGTGAGTAACATTGTTGTAATCACCTAGATGTGAATGAGCAAGCTATCAGGGGGTCGCTTTTAACTGGTTTTAGTAGTTTACTTGTGAAAAAGATATTGTGTGCAGCCACTCTGGAAAAGGTTGGGGAGTTTCTTATGAAGTCAAACATACATGTACCATGTGACCTAGTAATTCCACTCCTAGGTATTTACCCAAGAGAAGTGAAAGCTTATGTTCACAACAAACCTTGTACACAGATTTTTATAGCAGTTCAATTAATAATTGTCCCCAAACTGAGAAAAACTCAAGTATCCTTCAGTGGGTGAATGGATAAAGAAACTGTGATACATTCATACAGTGGAATACTACTCAGCAGCAAAAAGGAGCAAATTATTAAGAGAGGCAACAATTTGGATGAATCTCGACGGCATTTAGATGAGTGAAAAGTTTCATTAGATGAGAACAAAGGTTATATGACATTTTTGAAGAGATAAAACCATAGTGACAGAGAACAGACCAGTGGTTTGCCAGTGGTTAAAATTACTAGTTTATAAATTAGTGGCACCAGAGAATTAAGGGGGTGATAGAATTGTTCTGTACCCTGAAGAGCAATGGTGGTTCTATGTCTCTATACATGTACTAAAATTCATAGAACTATACATCAAAACAAGTCAATTTTACTAAGCTAATTAAAAAGAAAAAAGATTGGGTGCCTGTGTGGCTCAGTTGGTTAAGCGTCTGACTTGGGCTCAGGTCATGATCTCATGGTTCATGAGTTTAAGCCTTGTGTCAGGCTCCATGCTGAAAGCTCGGAGCCTGGAGGCTGGTTTCGATTCTGTGTTTCTCTCTCTCTCTGCACCTCTCCCACTCATGCGCTGTCTCTCTCTCTCTCTCAAAAATAAAAAATAAACATTAAAAAAGAAAAAAAGATTGGTGGTTGGGGGGAAAGACATTATGTCTTTTTCAGGAATACAAAAGACTGTCCCAGTGTGCTATGCAGTGAGGTATTTAAGTGTGTATTGATTTGAATCTGTTATGGAATTACTGTACAGGTAAGAAATGTCACAAAGAGATTTATTTTTTATTACTACCCATAATGAAGGGAAAAAAAAGGATAGGTTCAATTTTACCCATAGTTTCACGTAAAACAACGGAAAATCATAAGACAATACAATGAGTTAACAATACTCATAGATTGCTTTTTGAAATCTCCAATCCTCACCAATTATTAACTTTCTGATCTTCATTGCATTTTCAGCATGAATTGCATCTGGATTCTGAGATGCTCGAGATGGGAAGTAGTTGGGTCAAAAGTGGGAGTTCACTTTCCTTTATACTGTACATCAGCTCTTCATAGCCTACCATCTGAAACTAATTTGTTTTGTGTGATTTATTCCATAAAGTTGCTGGAATAAACAAGGCATGCACAGCTCCTCAGATGTGTATTCAACAGGGACTTGCTTGCTGTGTATGATTTTTAGCTTTCTCAGAGCTTTCGGAAATACCATCCAGCACATGGGATGTCATGTGGGTTCTCAGAGGGCCTATGATTTATTAAACTAGGGTACTTGTGTGTGTGTGTGTGTGTGTGTGTGTGTGTGTGTGTGTTTAAAATCTGTGATTGATATGATATGGGCCATGGTCTCCATTCCCAAATTGTTCGTAAGTCCAGTTCAGTGAATTAATAATGGGGAACAGACTCGTCCACTCTATGTCTCTGGTCCAAATAAGCACAACAGGATTGGGATTGTTTAGTTAAACAGATGAGAAATTACAGCATTGTGGTCTGTCACTTGCCTCCTAAGGAAATGAAAGGTTACCTCAGATGGTACATTTTCCATGGTGGCATTTGGTTGCTGGGTGTGCCCGACTTCTGTGATATGGACACAAAAGGATTTCACAAAGTTTCTCAAACCCTTCCACCTCCCATTCTTACTGCCAGTAGCTTTTCTAAGTGATGGCATGATAGAGAGGAATAAATCACAGTCCTCATGGACCTCACAAATTTCTTCACAGTCCTTGTAATGTAAGCAAGTCCTTATCACACTACACATTCCAAACTGCATTTTGCCTCTTTTAAAGAAAGACTATAACAGGACAAATATGGGCAACATCTAGTGCTCTTTTCCCCCTAAATCCATATTTTTTGTCCTCATAATAAATCCAAGCATTACTTAAATATTTCCCTTCTGAATCCATATGCCATCATTGTCACTTTAAGATAGAGAGTATGAATAGTATGAATAATCACAGAATATCTTAGAATGCTCTTGTCAGTCCTAGAACTATACATTTGAGTTTCTCCATGTAGAAAAGACTCCTCTAGAAATCTTCTGGCATAAGGTCTCTCTTGCTTTATGATCTTAGAGGTCATCAGTCTTTATGTTATGCAAAAGTATTTTGGGGGCATCTTTTTAAAAAATTTTTAAATGTTTATTTATTATTGAGATACAGAGAGACACAGAGCGTGAGTAGGGGAGGGGCAGAGAAGGGGGGGAGACACATAATCCGAAGCAGGCTCCAGGCTTTGAGCTGTCAGCACAGAGCCCGACGTGGGGCTTGAACTCACAAACCACGAGATCATGACCTGAGCCGAAGTTAGGTGCTCAACCAACTGAGCCACCAAGGCACCCCTGGAGCATTTTTTATACACCAGGCACTGTTCTAGCTATTGAATAAATAAGACAAAGTCATAGGCTTGTTGGAGTGAGGAAGAAATAGAGTTGACAAGGAGATAAAACTAATTTCAGAGTGTGTGAAATGCTAGGAAGGAAATAAGACATACCTAAGAGTGAGTGTGATTATAAGGGTGGGGAGAATGCATTACTTTAGAAAACAGGTGGTCACGGATGACCTCTTTGAAGAGGTCACATCTGAGCTGAGTTTGGAAATAAGAAGCCAGCTGTGTAAAGACTGAAGGAATAACATTCTAGAGCAGGTTGTTTAATCCATTAGGCACTATTCTCTTCATGTTTGAGATAGGGGGATGGGAATTGCCTCTCTTACATTTTACTTAATATTCCACCTAAGGAATTACTTCCTCTCCTTAAAGCCTTGGGATGGGTGTTTTTGGAGATCCTAGTATCCAAGAGAATATCCACTTCCACCAGGGCACTGAAGTCAGAATTCTGTGAAATCAGAGGTTGCTGTAGTTCCTGCTTCTGTAGCTGGTCACAGGCCTATGTTGATAATCATAACATCAATTCCTTACTCTCTGCCAGAACTTTGGCTCATCAGGAATTTTTACCTGGTGGAGCAAATCAAATGTTTGCACCTAGAGAATAAAAGTCCCTGGTGGTCTTGTCTTTATTGGGTCACCACTATTTCCACTGACCAGTATTTCTGTGTTTGGGAGTACTATGGTGTATTCCAATGAATCCCTGGGTTCTAGACATAACCTTTCTTGCCCCTACTGTGTAGCAGCAACCCAATTTCCCCTTGGTAATTGAGGCCAATCACTTTGGACAGTACAAAGAAGTGCCTGTTGGTGTAGTGGTTTAAAAAGCTCACAGGAGTCTCAGTTAATAGAACTGTGTTTGAACATTAATTGTTTCTTTTCCTTCCCATCTTCTGCCACATTTGAAGAACACTGGTGATGACTAACTTTGCAATTTAGGTTCGAGGTAGGTGTAACTGAATTGACATCATACCCAGCGTCAATAAAATGGGTACAGGATCTTCTGTTTCAAGGTACATGCGTTTTTCATACAGATAAAGGACAGAAGAGAATGGTGAGGAAAAACAGTGATGAACTGTACTGGAAATTTTGCATTTACCTTTCCATACATACTTTTTACTCTTCTGTGTACCAGTAGGCTCACCTCTCAGACTATATAATCTGGGCTCTTTTGCCTTTTGTCTTCCAGGTGAGTTTAACCAATGGGAAACACTAGATGGAGCTCAAAAGGCAAGAGGAGGAAAGAAGTTAGAATATTTTTTTTTGAACTCCCACACCCATCTAGGCTATGATTTCATAGAGACTTTTTCTCTCTGCCTTAAGACATATATATACTTGTCAGTGGCGCCTTTCTTAGGGCCAATTCTGGTGACCATTCTTTCTACTTTCATCCCTCTACGACTAGTGGTATTGGATCTCTGCTACTGCCACAGTTAAAAGTCCTTGGGTCCTTCAAAGACTCTAAGTCCTTTAATCCTGTCTAGGCCTTTGTGAAGTTCCTTAAGTTACCTTTTAGAGTGTCTATCAGGTTTCTGCTGGAACCTGGACTCCTAAATACAGGGAACAAATTATCTGGCATAACCTGGGAAGGGTAGGTATTAATTAAAACATGCAAAGTAGGCAGCAGTAATCAGCATTTATTGTATTGCAGTTAATGTGAAGTTGAGGATTTTTGGCAGGGGAATCATGCCCCTTGTTTCTCTACTCCTCTTCAAAATATTTATTGTTCATATGTGTATGGAGGTTCTCTCAGTTGTGGTCAAGCCTCATCTCTAGGTAGCCAAGAGCAATGACATCATTACATATATTTGAATTATATTCTGTATTTTAAAAATTGAGGCATAACTGACATATTATTTTATATTAGTTTTAAGTATAAAGCATAATGTTTCAATATTTATATATATTGCAAAATGATCACCACAGTAGGTCTAAGTCATGCCCCCTCCCTTTTTTAAAATATAATTTATTGTCAAATTGGCTTACATACAACACCCAGTGCTCATTCCAACAAGTGCCCGCCTCA